TTGTGTTTTTTATTATGTTTGTTTTAGGCAGTTCTCTTAGATTTTTTGTGTTTTTGCCTTTCATAGATAATTTCTGGGTTTTGTTTTATGAAACTCTGTTTTTTGGTATGTTTGTTTCAAGCAGTTCCCTTAGAATTTTTGTGATTTTGCATTTCATAGAAAATTTCTGTTTTTTTGTTTTGTTTTATATCTTTTGTTTTTATTTTAATTATGTTTTTCCAATGTTTGTAGTGGTGACTGCGTTAAGGTTGATTGTGTTCTTTTGGTAATCTGAGTGAAATTCAGGTACATTTCACTCGAATTTTTATTTTGGGTTGTTTGTTTGTTTTCTGCTGTAGGATTACTCGTGTGAGCATTAGGCTTGCATCACTCAAATTTTGCTTTTTGTGACATTTCTGTGATTTGTCTTCTCAAATTATTTGAGTGTTCAAATAGGTCAAATCACCCAAGTTCCAAATAGACAGATCCTTTTTTTTTGTCATGAAGCGAGAGGAAATTATCGATCTATCTCTATGGATTTTTTTGTCGTGAAGGGAGAGGAAATTATATTAGAAAAAGACTGAAAGAAAGCGTAGTTCTGAGGATATTACACATGTTGGTATGGGATTCAAAAAATTGTGCATCATTCGTCACAGTACCCCAAATTATATATGAAAAAAACTCTAAAACAAAAAGGTGTAATATTTTTATTTAGATTCTTTCATTGTTTTCTTCCCTATATAGTTACTTTTCTTAATGCAGACAATGCTTTGTTGAACACCGAAATCAAAGCATAGTCCTTATATCAAATCCAACATCACTCCTAAAACATTCAACATGTCACAAGATCAAATATTTCGAACCAATCCAAAACGCATCTGGAGCAATGAAATAATATCGGTAGTTGAATCATTGGGTACACTATAGACTGTATATTCAGTACCTCTAACCCTTGTTTCGTCATATTGGATGCATGATTTCTTCTCTACAACCATCGACAATAAGATCAATGACCCAAAGTTACAGTCCTCATGGGGGTGGCTAAAAGCATCTCTCCCCTTGCAGATAATAGCAACAAATTGACTTTTGACGATGAAATCCACATATGCAGAAGCAACCACGTCGTTGCCATCACCAAAGTCATCACTGGTACTAAACAACAGACCAAAATTTGTCCTGCTAGATTTATTTAGACTAAATCAAAAGAAACTAGATTAAAAGAACAACTATAAATTAATGAAAGATGTATCATATCTCGTTCTTTCCGCCGGCGGGCTAGGTAGAAAGGAAGGAGAGAAACCCTGAGGGCTACTTTTGGCAAAGACCGATTGTTTGGGATCTGGTGTCTTCCCGGCGAGAAACCCACGGGCCACCTCCCCGGGTAATCTCCTACGCGTTGGAAGTCGAGGAGACACGGAATCTCGCCCGCTTCCCCACGTTTTCCACGGGAGAGAAATCCACGAGGCAGCAAGTGTCGGGGCATTTCCCGCCCCTCACTCACGACGCTCCTTGTCTCTCACGATTGGCGTCGGGAGACCGTCGCCGCCCGCCGCCGCCCATGATTTCCACTTTCGCCGTCGATCCGCCACCGACGTTTGAAGCCAAGCAAGTGAGCCCGTCAAGTCGCCCCAGGCGAAGGCGTGCTCTCCTTCCGCCCCTGTTCGCTTCTCCTCCGCCATTGCTCTCTCTTCTCCACCGTCGTCAGAGCCTTTGCTCTTGGCTTCGATCCGGTGAGTCCACGCCCACTCGCATCTTCTTCACCACTAGGATTTCTCGATCCGCCATGGTTTCGCTTCAGATCTCTGCAGTGACACCATTGTTTCTTTGTAGATCTTGGGGATCTTTGTTCTCCGCATCCTTCTCTCCAATCTCGTGTGGACTCGGAAAAGAGCCATGTCGGGAGGTGGGGCTTGACCACTTTGGCTTCACCTGACTGCCAGGCCAAGAAGGGTGAGCATAAGGTCTTGGACAACACCGTCAAGTTCATACCCAAGGTCAAGATGCAAGCATCTATCTGCATTTTCTTGTTTGCTTTGCTATTTATCCAAGATTACTTGTGATGGTTTTGATTTTTGAAGGGATTACTCAAGATTTTCAGATTGGCTGCCCATTTGCTACCTTTACTTGAAACATCATTCATTCAGAAATAGTAGTTCCCCATCTAGAAATATTAGAATAAAAAAGTCATCATTTGTAGGATCTTGATCATTCATTTATCTTCCATGGTATTATAAATTGCTACAAAATGGACATCATATATATATATATATATATATACACATACATATATATACATACATATATATATATATATATATATATATATATATATATATATATACATATATATATAGATACATATATATATATATGCTTAGCCACTAATAATCCCTCGACGATTTTGCTGATAATATAATCATGGATGGCTCATCTCGTCTAGAACATAATTGGGTATACCTACAAAGAACTGGGAGAATAATTGGGTATATCTACAATGTATGTAGTTATCATTTTTATGGCTCTGCTTTGTTCATCCAATAAATGAAGGAACTCTTGTTTATCGTTTGGACAATGGTTTGCAAGTTTGGATTGACATTAAGTAAACTTCATGTTTTGCCTGTACAAGACATTTTGTCGTTAATCTGAATGATCTTGAATGACATGTGTTGTTAATCGAAAGTGATCCTTCGTTAATCGAGTTTTTCCTTGTGTTTACTTGCAGTGCTCTTGGTTGAAGCAATGCATGATTAGAGGCACTTGAATTCAAGAGTGTTTTGATTCAGTTCATTCAACATTTAGCATAGTTTTGAATGTTTTTCCAATTATTGCTTTGCCTATCGTAACTATTAACTTCATTGTTTGGTTTGTTTTCCGCTTGTATAAAGAATTTTTTTACCCGATCTAGACGATGCTCGTTTTAAAAGTGCTTTAGTTAGATTGTATCGGTAGCATTAGTGCACCATCATGTGTCCAAAAGTCTGGTTTGTAGCCAGCAGACCGGTGGCGACCTCAGATTCCTGTGGACATCGCTTGCCCCGATGCAAACACTAGATCGAGCTTATATTAGCAAAGCAAAGCAATGCCTTCCATTATCATTTACATATTACATATTAGTGTAGACTTATTTTGAACATCTTTTTGTTGTTGCACAATTATTGCCAGGTGGTCAAAATGCACTTTTGGTCATCATTGTTGGAGCAGATTAGTGTACACTTATTTTAGTGTTGGTAAAGTTAGTAACTTAGTATGAAGTATCGTATTCCTCTTTTTTTCTGTGCCAGCAGTCTAGCCGTGGTTGGTTTCCTGAAGCTGTCCAGAAAAGTAGTTGAACCAACTATTTTCACCCTGTTTTATAGCAAGTATTGTAGTTTCTTTAAAATAAGTAGTAGGCTCAAGGCATACCTAGAGGCACACACCAGACCCATGCTTATTTGGAGGAAATACCCAAGGCCCATGTTTGATTTTGCAATCGCAATCACACCCTCTCAAGGTTAGAGTGGTGAACCCCAGTGAATTTTTATTATTCATATCGATCTGTAGGTCCTTTTCTTATTCATATATATACTATAGTATTGTTATTGTTTCCTGCTTTCTTTTAATTCTAGGAAGCACTAACTTTGTTGGGTGTGCATCGTCTCTGTTTTAATGATAATGCAAGGCTAGGGTCTTAGGAATTGCTTCTAGTTATACGAGATACTTACTTGAGTATTTGACATACAACCCCAGTGACTATTGGCACTGCACTGTCTCCACATGTTTCCTGAATCATCAGTAGATGGTGGAATGGTAGTGTGATGATATAGCTTTATCATTACAGCTAGCTGCTGGTGAGATATCACCTCGCAGTTCAGAACACTACACTGTTCTGCTACATATTCTTGTAACTCACCATTTCCTTTGTGTTGCTTGTAGAGGACTTGGCGGAAGCAACAATACATGAGAGAAAAATAAGTTTGTTCCTTCTTCATCACAAGCATATAAGAAAACGTTCAAGCTCATAAGTAGATTTCCTCCTCCTAATCTGTCAATTTTTATATACATGCACCTACTATTTGTCCATTTTTATGCTACATGCATCTATGTAATATAATATTGGTGTGTATGAACCGGAGGACCATAATTTATTCTTGTGTCAGTTTTTGGTCAAGAAATTGATATCCTGTTTTATTTTTTGTTATCTATCTAGATATGTGGATGGAGATGACTACTGATATTTCTGTGGAAGCCACATATTAGCTTTGTTGGAAGATGATACTTGAATAGAACTTCTATATTAATAGACTAGCTTTGTTTGAGGTTTGAAATATCTATTTATTTGTATGGAAAGTCTTGTCCCTGACTTTTTTTCATGATTTTGTGGATTTTTTTTCTGATTATTTGAGACATACAGTACTTTGCTTCAATTGTGCGGTCATTTTTACCAAACGCATTCTTGGATTGTTATATACTATACTATATAAAACAACAGCAGGGAAACTCCCCTGACAGCAGTCTGCGAAACAACAGCAGGGAAATTCTCCCATACGTGGATATCTCCCCAGGGTGGAGGCGGGAATGAGAAATCCAAAAAATCCACGTCGGGGGCAAACTTCTCGGGGCTAATTTGCCTCTGCTGCCAAAGTGGCCCTGAAGGGGGGCTGCGGTTAGGGCCTCGAAGGGGGGCTGCGGCGGCAGCTGTTATCCCAGTTGATGAGCTAGTGGACTGAGCCAGTTGATGCTTAGGTTAATAGAGATCGCCAGCGGTGGCAAGTTGCTGTATATTATGTATTCATTGGTCCACAAAGCTTGACTTTCATCCGTGTTTCGGGTTCCTCGTTGAAATTCTTTTCAAATGTAATAATTAGCAACCCTCCAGCTAATAATTAATAGGTTATTAGTAGGTCTGTTTGGATTTATTAGTACTAATTTTAGCCGCTAATTTTTAGTGTTAATGATCCAAAACAGTCACTCAGAGTAACAATTGCTTGATATATATACAGAGCCTCCAAAGTTCAGAGGAGCCAGCAAGCAGCAAACTCACCATGTCGTCGTCTCCTATGCCCCACGTCCTCCTGGTCTCCGCTCCTCTGCAAGGCCATGTCAACCCTCTCCTTGTTCTGGGCCGGCACCTCGCCTCCAGAGGCCTCCTCGTCACGTTTACCACCGCCCCCCATGCCGGCCTCAAGTTTGGGCACGGTGACGGCGCGACCGTCGACGTCGGGCGCGGCACGATCCGGTTCGAGCACCTGAAGGGCGGCGACCTGTGGGCCCCGTACGACCCCCGGTACCACGACCCGACGGGCGGCGTGATGCGCCACATCGATGAAGCCGCGCCGCCGGTCCTGGCGGAGCTTATCCGGCGGCAGTCCGAAGCCGGCCGGCCGGTGTCGTGCGTCGTGGCCAACGCGTTCGCCCCGTGGGCGACCCGCGTCGCCAGCGGCATGGGCGTCCCGCACGCCATGCTCTGGACGGAGTCCTGCGCCGTCCTCTCACTGTTCTACCACTACTTCCACTCGCTCGCGGACTTCCCGTCGCGCGAAGCCGGACCAGGCGCGACGGTCGCCGTCCCCGGGCTGCCACCGCTGGCCGCCGGCGATCTGCCCGCCCTGATCCACGCTCCCGAGGAGTTCATCTGGCGCCAAGTGCTCATCGCGGACATCCGCAGCCTCCGCGAGACGGTGACGTGGGTCCTCGTCAACACCTTCGACGAGCTCGAGCGCCCGACCATCGAGGCTCTCCGTCCGCATCTGCCTGTCATACCAGTCGGTCCGCTCTGCAGCGGGACAGAGAACCACGGTAGTGGCCAAGACGACGACGACGACGACTGTGTGGCATGGCTCGACGCGCAGCCGCCGCGGTCAGTGGTGTTCGTGGCGTTCGGGAGCCTCCTGCAGATCAGCCGCGACGAGATGAGCGAGCTGGCGGAGGGCCTGGCGGCCACGGGGCGGCCGTTCCTGCTGGTGGTGCGCGACGACAACCGGGAGCTCCTCCCCGACGGCGGCGACGACTGCCTAGCCGCGGCGACCGGCAGCAACAGCAGGGGCAAGGTGGTGGCGTGGTGCGAGCAGGCGCGCGTGCTCTCGCACGGCGCCGTCGGCTGCTTCGTGACGCACTGCGGGTGGAACTCCACCGTGGAGGCGCTCGTGTCCGGCGTGCCGGTCGTCACGTACCCGGCCTGGGCCGACCAGCCTACCAACGCCAAGTTCTTGGCGGACGTGTACGGCGTCGGAGTCCGGCTCCCGAAGCCGATGGCGCGTGACGCCCTGCGCCGCTGCGTCGAGGAGGTCATGGGCGGCGGGCCGGAGGCAGTGGCAGTGCGGGCAAGGTCCGGGAAATGGAAGGCCGAGGCGTGCGCGGCGCTGGCCACTGGCGGGTCGTTGGACAAGGGTATCCAAGACTTCGTCGCCGCTATACTGTCGATATGTGCTGGTACGGTTTAAATAATGAGTGTGGTAATACCGGCCGGTTCCTGTTGGTTCGCAGCATGTTTTGTCAAATGTCAAATGTCAACTGTCAATCAAGTGGCATGAATTTACTTGTTGCCATGTCGTGTACATGTACTCTCACTCCGTACCAAGATACTCCCTCCGTCGCGAATAGAAATGTGAAGTTCGTATAAAATACGTGTAATATTTATATCTCTTAATAAATTTACTATGAGAATATATTCAATGATCTATCTAATGATATTAATTATATATTATAAATATTAATACTTTTTTATATATAATTGGTCAAAGTTTAAAAAGATTAATTTCTCGGAAAACGAGAATGGTTCTGTTCGCTTCGCTGAAAAAAAATAAGAAACACTGTTTCGGCTGATTTGTTGTGAGAGAAAAACACTGTTTCCAGCTAAAAAACAAGCTAAAAAGTACGGATTATAAGACAAGCGAACATGACCAATGACTTCTATTTTGGAACAGACGAAGCATGAGATACGGTTTGATTCGTGCAGTCTTTAACATTACCTATACTTTGACTGTCAATTTCTTTTTAAATTATATCATGTATAGCAATAAAACTTTGATCATTAGAAAATACTCCATCCATCTAAAATAAACGGCAGCACTAGCGCCCAAACGTCCGGACGGTCGTCCGGGGACGGCCATCTCGCCTTTCGTCGCGATAATGCGGGGCCTATCACTCCCATGCTTTCCGCTTCTCACGCCCTCCACACGCATTGGCGATCCCTCCATGCCAGTACGCCTCAACAAGAAGAGCATCTACGGCAAGTGTCTCATATTACAACATGCATAACACCCATCGATCTACTTTTGAAACATTCAAATGAAATAATTGCAACATATGTACGAAACAGCCAAAACATTCGAAAGATGTGCCTGAAACACATGCAAAAACACATGAAAAATAATTACAAACATATGCAACATCCAGATAAAACACTTGCAACATATGTGTGTGAAACATATGCACAATCCAGATAGGCACACTTGCAACATACGTCTGAAAAAACAAAACATTAGGAACATACATTTTCAACATATGTGTACAATCATTGCAACATATGCAATATTTCGATTTATTTTTGCAACATCTGCATGAAACACTTAAAACATAACTACGAAACATCTGAAATACTTGAAGCACGCGCTTGTAACATGAGGGAGCTCGGGACCGGACGATTCTAGCCGTCGGGGTCGGAGCCGGCGCCGCACGAGCACCACCACCACCATCGCTAGGAGCACCTGGCTTGTGCATTATCGTAAAAGAAATCAATTTCTAGAACCACACAAAGTTAAGTAGTACATTATGAAAAAAATATTACATGATGTATCTAGTGACATTAATCTGGTGCCATAAATATTATGCTCTTTTCTGTAAATTTGGTAAAACTTAAAATAGTTTGATTTAGGATAACTCTAAAAGTTGTTTTATATTATGGAACGTAGGTAGTATTTCGAAATATAAATTTAATGTAGACAATTTTGCAACAATGATTAGACTAATTGTTTGTCAAAGATAACAAAATTTGACATCTGCTCCGGTACTCCTCCCTCAAAATATTGCACGTTTTTCAAAGCAGCCAATTAAGATAATTAATTTCTTTTTGCTAATTATTTTCTATCTGGGCTACGCTTAGACCCAGCCTGTTCATCTCAGCCCTATCCCCAGTCATCGTCACGGCGTCTATCTATCCGTGGCATTTGGATGGTGGGTGGGACAGGGAAGAGAATATGAAGTTGGGATATAGGGAGCAGGTTGAGGACTGGGATACGAAGATTGCGAGACAAATCCTTTGTTTGGCTGCAACTGGGTATGGGTTTGCGATAGGAAGCGGGGCCCACGTCATTTAATAAAAAATAAAAAATAACGGCCCAGCCTTATCCACGGAACCATAGCCACCCGGCTCTCTCTCTCCCCGCACGACAGAAGCAAATCGAGCAGCCCCCGTGAGTCCACCACGCAAAGCGAGAGGTGCCTCCGACTAGGAAGTGAGGTGATGAGCAGCAGCCACGGCGGCCTCGAGCGACGGAGCCAGGTGAACAGCGGCTGCGACGGCCTCGTGTGATGCGAGCTGGGCTCCGGTGGTGGCTTAGGCGCGACGAGAGCAGGCGCGCGAGTTGAGCAGCTGCTCCCTCATCGAAGGAGCGAGGTGGCTCTGGCGGCTGCCTGGGCGCGTGGCGAGGGGTGGCTCCGGCGACGGCCCAGGTGCGAGCCGCGAGGGGAGCAGCAGCTGTGCAGGTCCGGGCGCGAGGCGAGCAACGGGCATCGTGACGTGCCAATCCAGATCTAGCTCTGCAAGCACACCATCGGCGTGCAGTGACGACGCACGAGTTGGGGAGTGACGGTGGGTGCAGCTACATTGGTTACTCTCCACCGGTTCGTCGCCGACGGCCGACGCCATAACCCAGAGATAACTCACCCCTCCCGGTGGGACAGAAACGGTGGGAAATAGGTGCGACATTTCCCTTTCCCCATCCTATTTCCCTATCCCACGAACCAAACGCGAGAAATTATCGATAGAACTTAACATCGACTGGCAGTAGATCGACTAAATTTGTATTTAAAATATAGTAAACCCTAGAACATGAACTAAAACTGAGAGGGAGGATGAGAGTGGGGAACCATTACTGACCATCAGTAGGCTTGGCAGAGGAGCTGGCTATGGTGTCGATGTAGGGCAACAATGGAGTCCAGTGACAGTGTTGAAGGCACAGCGGAGGCGCAGTCCAGTTATGGCGGCAAAAACGGTGGCACTTCCCGTCACTCACAGCGCCTCCTCTAGATCGGCTTAGGGTTTGTATGTAGGGATTGTGGCGGCGGTAGTGAACCACGTGCCTAGTGCCCTGGTCCACACCTTCTTTTTATGGCGCTGCGCGACGGGGTCCACCAACCATTGATTCGGTTGGGCGTCCTCGATCAGGACGCGAGATCAAGGTCCGACTCAGTCGTTGGACCGAGTCGGAGGAGATCAACCTAACATTCTTCCCCTTATCTCAACTTATAACTAAAACTTAACTTACTTTATCTTGTTCCCATTCCATCATAGATCAGTGTATAGAGCATGTCTCATCATCACGGTCAGTTGCTATTAGATTAACTGCTACAATACACCTATCTGTTTTGAAACAAATTCTCATCTAGGCCCTTATTGTCCAGAAATCATATGCTTTCCCTTAAACCCATGCCGGCTAAGTGTTCTCTGAACGCATTGGGTGGTAAGCCTTTTGTGAGCGGATCCGTGAGCTTCTTTTCTATACTTATGTACTCAAGACTAATTATATGATCTCGGATTTTATCTTTCACAACATAATACTTTATGTCAATGTGTTTGGTAGCACCACTTGACTTATTGTTGTGAATATAACATACTGCTGGATTATTATCGCAGTATAACTTGAGTGGCTTATGTATGTCGTCTACCACTTTCAATCCGGGCATAAACTTTTTTAGCTAATTCACCTGCCCTGTGGCCTCATAACACGCTATAAACTCGGTATACATCGTAGACGATGGAGTGACGGTTTGCTTGGAGCTTTTCCATGATATAACTCCTCCTGCGAGAGTAAATATGTATCCTGACGTAGATTTTCTATCATCTCCTGCATAATCTAAATCTGAATACCTCTCTATGTGTAGGGAATTAGATCTTCTATACGTTAGCATAAGGCATTTGTACCTTGCAAGTAACGCAAAACTTTCTTTACTAGTCTCTAGTGTTCTATTCCTAGATTACTCTAATATCTGCCAAATAAACCGGTAACAAACGCTATATCAGGGCGTGTACACACTTGATGTAAGGTCCTAATGGTTAGAGAGAGGTGAATAGCCTATTAAAAATTTCTACAGCACTTAGCAACCCGGTTAGACAAATATGAGATGAAGCGAGTGTTGCGCTAGCCTAATAAAAATACAAGCCACCTACCACAGTTCTAGTTTTTATAGTCTATCCACACAATGGCTATTTCACTACACAAAGTTAGTGTGCTCTCAAAGGCTAACTAAAGAGCCACACTAACCAAACTAACAAGCTCTCATGACTAGCTACACTAAAGAGCTTGACAACTAATTTACGGTAATGTAAAGAGAGAGCAAGATGATTATACCGTTGAGTCGAGGAATAAATCAATCAATCACAAGAATAAATATCAATAAAGACCAATCACCTCGGAATCAAATGATGACACAATAATTTTTACCGAGATTCACTTGCTTGCCGGTAAACTAGTTCTCGTTGTGGCGATTCACTCACTTGGAGGTTCATACGCCAATTGACATCACATGCCAAACCCTCAATAGGGTGCCACACAACCAACACAAGATGAGAATCACACAAGCCACGAGTAATTTACTAGAGTACTTTTTGTCTCTACATCAGGGAAAGGTCAAGAACCCCTCACAATCACCACGATCGGAGCCGGAAACAATCACCAAGCTCCACTCGACGATCCTCGCTACTCCAAGCCGTCTAGGTGGCGGCAACCACCAAGAGTAACAACCGAATCCCGCAACAAAACACGAACACTAAGTGCCTTTAGATGCAAACACTCAAGCAATGCACTTGGATTCTCTCAAAATCTCACAAAGATGATGAATCAATGATGGAGATGAGTGGGAGGGCTATGGCTAAGCTCACAAGGTTGCTATATCAAATGCAAATGGCCAAGAGAGTGAACTACAACCAGCCAAACGATATTTATAGACACCCCAAATAATAGAGCCGTTGGCTCAATTATTGGGCTAATTGCAGGATGACCGGACACACTGGTTGTGTGCACCGGACGCGTCCGGTGTGGCGACCAGACGCGTCCGATCGTTGCGTCCGGTTACAACCTGACCGCCACGTGTCCCATTCAAATTGTTTAGCCATTCGCGCCCAATGGCTATCTCTGTGCATAGTAATACCACGTGATCGGACGCACCGTTAGAAAATAACCGGACGCGGGAGACACAGCATCCGATTGAGTCTAGAGAGCTC